CCCTTTCCCATCAGGCGGCACTGATTCCAGCACCTGCCTCCGATGTCTGGAGAGTTACTGACGCATATGGTTTGATCACTTGGCGCTTTGAGTGCCTGGACCTTGTGCCACAGAGGCCGTGCTCAGCAAGGAGGGAATCAGGAGTCTGAGGATGAGGGAACCTGCAGTGAGAGCGGGAGGTGGAGCCTGGGCGCTAGCATCTAAGATAACCCCTGATGACAGATGGGAAGGTCAGTCCTTGTGCCCAGGCAGGGACTCTGAACAGAAGCCTCATTCCAGCAACAATCTCAGTGAGGATGAGACAGAAGCCAGATCGATACCCAGCTCTGCCTGTCTGACCCTCACATTGCTTCACAGACACCATTAAGTAAATGATGAAAACCACACAATTAAAGCCTGGAACTTGCCCTCTTATCCTACCACCTGTGACATCTGTGGGCAGAGAATGTTCCGTGGAGAAAAGGGTCTGGTGTCAGCATGGGAGGAGGCCAGGAAGTTTCCTTCTTTGTCCCAAAAAGGGAGGGCAGGGGTCTCCTAACAGTGAGGGGTCAGACCCCCATTCATTCCTCCAAAATCACAGCCTTCCCCACCTCTACCTGGTGAGTGACATCTCATCTCCCCAGGGTAGGTCTTGGTGACAGCCTGTGTCCTTCCTCTTCTCAGTGACACGTGACCTGGCACAAATTCTGGACTCTGGACCCAGGTGGAGTTACTACCAAAGGAGGAAGGAGCCCACCTTTACCTCAAAGGAAGTCAGGGGGCAAATCCCTGTGCCCCAAGACCCTGATCTGTGGGGTCACCTGGCTGTGTCTCTGAAAACATCTCACCAGCCCATGATGTCCTGGGGAACTTCCCATGCAGGATGGGTTAGGAGAACCCAGGATCTAGGGTGCTTCCCCCTCAGAGGAGCTGAGTGTGCCAGGGGGGCCTCCTGTCAGGATCCCCTGGCTGAGTGTCCATGTGGAGCAGCTCCAGATCCTGGGCCCCATGGGGAGGCCTACAGCAGCTGACAGTCAGGGACACAGGGGACTTGGATGCAGTACCCAGTGCTGTGATGGGGACACACAGGGCATCCTGAGCATCAGAGCCCCAGGGCAGCACCCTCTCCTGGAAGCCCCACAGGAGCCCTCACCAGGCCCTTCCTTGAAACCTCAGGGACAGGGAGCTCCTCCTGGGTGGGTAGTTCTCCTGACACTGGATCCAGAGTCCTCTGGACAATCACCACCCTCTCCCTGGGCTCACCCTGTCCTGGGTGAAGTCAGGCAGCCTGGGACACACAGTAACTGGCCACTCAGCCTGGATGTAAGAGCCCATCCCTGCCCAGGGCTCAGGGTCAGCTCCCACCCTCTGGAGCAGTGATTCCCAAAGTGGGCGCTACCGCCCCCTGGTAGGCGCTGCAGCGATCCAGGGGGGCGGTGATGGCCACAGGTGCATTTGTTTTAACTCTTTTTGTATTACCTTTCTATTCTGAGTTCAATAAATAGTTTCATAATTTCAAACTTCAATGTTTCTAATTTACACCTTTCTTTACTATATTTTACGAAAAAGGTAGAAACATTAATACATATATCTTTCTGTTTAATTGCTATTAAAATTTTAAAAAAATTAATTTCCAGGGGGCGCTGAGTAATATTTTTTCTGGAAAGGGGGCGGTAGGCCAAATAAGTTTGGGAACCACTGCTCTGGAGCCTAGTCAGCAACACTGAGCCAGCTGCAGGTTCCCTTATGCCCTCCAGGGGGCGGCAATGGGACACACAGACAGCAGGAAATTAACATAGGAACTGGCTTTGATGAAGGAGATGGGAAAGGAGCCTGATTTCCATATCACAGACCCTTCTGGGCCCCTCCCATGTGTCTACTTTGTCCCACAGGCTCCTTCTAAGGGACTAGGAGCACCTGCTCTATCAGGGAGAATGGGGACCTTGTGCAGCTCCCCACTCCCTGCCTTGTACCATCATGGGGAAGGCAGGGGGACCACAAGCAAGTCCCCCAGGCAGAGGACAGAGGCTGCCCCAAGGGTCAGGGAGCACATGGACCAGCTTAGCCAACAGAAAAGGAGAGGGAAGATTTCCCTAAAATCATGGCCCTCAAGAGCCAGGGAGCTCACAGCCACATGACCTCCCACCACAGTCCCCTCTTCCCAGGACACGCAGTATACCACACACACACACACACACACACACACACACACACACACACTGAAAGTCCTACTGAGACTCCTGGTCCTGGGACTCTGTCCCTGGAAACAGAAACCAGGCTAGTGACACCCAAAGACAGAAGGTGGATCCGCACAACAGTCATCACTCAGATGACCCCTTCTCACCCCAGAGTCACCACTGTGACCTTCCTGCTGGGAGGAAATCCAACCTTCCCAGCAGTTTGAGAACATGGGGAAGGTGTGGTGCCCAGCTGGGTTTCTGTGTCACACAAATAAATCGTCCCCTGGGTTTGGGGATCCCTGGGGCTCTCTGTGTGGTGCTGACAGACCAATGGCCAGGACACAGCACAAGCCAAGGGTGGGGTTAAGTGGGTAGGTTGTCCTCTTAGGGAGCAGGGATCCCCATCATCCTTGCCATTGGAAGTGATCTGCAGACCAGTATAATCAGCATCTCCTGACAGCTTATTAGATGGAGACTGTCGGTCCACCAAACACCTTGAGTCACAATCTGAATTTTTAGCAGGACCTGCAGACCCTCCCTGTGCACAAGAGAGGGGGAGGGGCTTCCCCATCCCCACATCACAGGGTCTCATTCTGGCTGGGCATCCACCTCAGCTGGGCAGCTGCCGAAGCAGCATTTCTAAGGTGTCACCTGGGCATTGAAATCTTTAGAAAGTTCCATATACAACGGTGTGGCATCCCTGTGACAAGAATTCCTGATGTCATCCCAGGCTTCTGCTCTGAAGATAACAGCCAAGTGGGGATGAGAGAAGGCGGTGGGAAGGCTACTGTGCACTCCACACAGAGCTGTGGGAGACGCCCTGGATACATACACCCCAAGCTTCTGCTTGTCTGATTGTGAGCGGTGGAAAGGCACCAGGTGTTAACCTGCAGAGTTAGGCCTTCAGTTCAGCAACCTCGGTACCTGAGTTCAGCTGAGAGAAGAATTCACAGTCAGGAACTCAAATTATAAGAGAGAGTTTATTTAGGAAGTCATAGAGGTAGAAGTGAGCTGTGGAAGAAATGGGCTCAGGAAACTAGTTACAGCGGCAAAAGAAGGACCCTTGGAGCTTAGGAGAAAGAAAACAAAGATAAGAGCCTTGAGGGAAAATGAGGTAGGGAAAGGTACAGGTGTGCTCCAGAGAGGAAGAGCCGCACTGCGTCCTACTTCTTCAATTTTTTTGGGTAGGAGTGGCTTTCTTTTACTTTATTAGTACCTATAAAATAAAAACAATTTATGGAAATATTTCCCTTCTCAAGATAGAGAAATACAATCTTTGCAAAAAATACACACCCATAATTGTTACAATACATATCCTTGTATATACCTTGGACATTATAAAAGTATTTAAGAATCACACCCTATAAAAGTTGAGAGAAGAAATATTTTCTCCAATCTTGGTCATACATTTTGACATTCAAGTACTGAAACTACGTCGTTGAAATAAAATGTCTCTAGTTTCCAGGGCCAAAGGGATTTAAATTTCAAGTCCCCATAGGTTTTTTTCTTTGTGTAAGGTCAAGAACCAGGAGAGGGTTCCCTGAGCGTTAACTTACCTTAGGTATGTCAAGCAATGGTTTACTTTCCATACTTTATCATGGAACTAAGGGGGTCAGAGGAAATAAGGGCATGGAACCCTTTTCGGGCAGGTCCCCTCCCTAGCATTCCTATTTATGTAGTGTGGCTCCTGCAAGAGGATTTTTAACCCTTGAGCTCTAAAATGCTGATTCTGTACTAGTAATTATCTAAGATACTTGCAAAACGATGCTTTTGCAAGTCTAAACTCCTATATTGTGAATTAGGATAAAGTTATGAAAGTGTGACTCCCCTAAATAGACTTCATTTAGGATTTGTCAGGTGGGGAGCATTGGGAATGATCAGTAAACCAAAAATTCCCTCTTGGAACTATAAGAGAAGATCCTTTCTTGGTAAGGCATAAGCCTCAGAAGCCAAGTTCCTTCTTACTTTGGAAGAAGGTCCTACTTCCTGAGGGCAGTTATCTGGAGGGCTCAGGGGAGGATCCCAATGAAACATTTATCAGGTTTCCAGGTGTGTCCTTTCGGGTCGAAGGTCATCAGTCAATGCAGTAAATCCTGATGTCAGCTATGTCCTCACTCATCTGGTTTTGCTGCTTTCCTGGGCTTGCAGCTGAAACACAACTGAGGCCTAGATGTATTTGATGCCAGTCAGAAGCTCATTGTCCTGGGGGCTTAATGCTCAAGGGCTATTCTTTAGTCCACTTGTTCATTTCCCCTCTAATGGCATCTAACCCACATGACTAAGAGCATGCCAGGGGAGGAAAGGTCAGAGGAGGGCCTGAACCACATGACCAGTGATATGAAAGGTCACAGGGCCTAAACTGCAAAACCAGGATATGCTCAGGGAGGAAAGGTTACCCAGGGGGCAAGGTCCCAGTCCAGTTTTCCACATTGCTAGTTACCCAAGGCTTCCCATTCCCTACTGACCCGTTGTACTACTCTGCTTAGTTTTAACTGCCTACTATACAAGCAAGTTGTGTGTGTGTCTGTGTGTGTGTGTCTGTGTGTGTGTGTGCACATGGGGAGTAGTCCCTGCAGAAGAAGGTAGAAGCCCCACCAGTTACAGGGAATGCAAACGTAGAAGAAAGAAAAGGGGAGGCAAGAATAACGGGAGGGCAGGGAGGAACCTGGTTACAGACCCCGCCCCTGGCCCATGTGACTAGGGAAGTGATCTTTGCCCAAGAGGAGGCTCAGTGCCCAGGGAGGAGGAACAGCACATCCCACCCACCAGGACAGCGGTGCTTGTGAGCATTTCTGGAATCCAAGCTCTTCCCACAGAGGGAGGGACAGAACAGCAGACACCATGGAGTCCCCCTCAGCCCCTGCCTACAGAGGACTTGTCCCCAGGCAGGGGCTCCTGCTGGCAGGTGAAAGGGGACAATTACTTGGTGGTGGGTGGGAGGAGGAGAGGCACAGGCTAGCTGGGGACTCCTGGGGAGCACAGGGCTCTCAGAGAAAACAAGAGGGAGGGGACAGGCTTCTGTTTGGCCTTGAGGGGAGAAGACAGGGGAGCAGAGTAGGATGGGGGAAGGGACTCGGCAACAGGAAAATAATGTGGAAGTGGTGAGGGACAGGAAAACCTCAATGGCTGCTCATTGCCCAACTTACTCATGACTGAGAATTGAATGCTGAAAACTTTTTAAAAAAATATATTTGTATTAATTTCAGAGAGGAAGGGAGAGGGAGAGAGAGAGAGAGAGAGAGAGAGAGAGAGAGAGAGAGAGAGGGAAACATCAATGATGAGAGAGAATCACTGATTGACTGACTCCTGCATGCCACCCACTGGGGATGGAGCCCACAACCCCGGCATGTGCCCTTAACTGGAATCAAACTTGAGACCCTTCAGTCCACAGGCCGATGCTCTATCCACTGAACCAAGCTGGCTGGGGCTGAAAACTTTTGATAATAACAATTTATATGAGGAAATAGGAAATTTAACCAGGGGCACTAAACATTGCCCTTACCACCAAATTCAAAAATGGACAGATACATCCCAGGAGGTGCAGGACCCTGCAACACTCACTCATTCACCCAAGGTACTTACAGCCTGTTGCAGGCACTGCGGGTACAACAAGATCAGACAAGCCCCTGCCCACATGGAAGTTCATCTCCTATGGGGAGAAGACAGACAAGAGAAGATATAAATGTGATGTCAGGTACCCCTAGTGCCATGCAGGAAAAGGCCCAGGGACAGGCCAGAAAGTGAACACAGAGGTCTTTAGAGAAGGTGGTCTGGGAAGGGGTCTCCCAAGACCCCAGAGCAAAGAAGTAACTGCACAGCTCTATGTATACTGTGAGTGATCGCTCTCTGACCTCTGGTGTGAACTCTACTTCACACACAGGACTGGACTCTGCATTGATCCCCCTCTGCATCACCTCTCAGGTTGGGTTTGGGCATTTAGTGCAGGACACACACACAGTGGAGATAAACTTACTGAGTGTCACCAGAAATCTGAGGGCAAAAACCTGGCTAACAGTATTCAAAACAGAGGAAATAAGGTCAGAGGTGCTGAAGTATTGGTGGCTATGCTGCTGATCTTGACCACAGGAGACACACACACACACACACACACACACACACACACACACACACACCAAGGCTGAAAGATGAAGAGATCAGTTGAAGACCCAAAGCCTCATCTCTCCATCCCAATACAGAGCTCCAAATCTTGATCAATTTCTCTTCCCTCCTAGCCTTACTCTTAACCTTCTGGAGCCTGCCCACCACTGCCCAGCTCATTATTGAATCAGTGCCGCCCAATGCTGCCGAAGGGAAGGATGTGCTTCTCTGTGTCCACAACCTGCCTGGGGATCTATTCGGCTATACCTGGTACAAAGGGGAAATAGTGGACTACAGCCGTCGAATCATATCATATGTAGTAGACACTCAAACAGCTACCCTCGGGCCTGCAAGCAGTGGTAGAGAGACAATATACCCCAATGGATCCCTGCTGTTCCAGAACGTCACCCTGAAGGACACAGGATACTACACCCTACAAGCCACAGTGAAAGATTTACAGAGCAAACAAGTAACTGGACAGCTCCGTGTATACCGTGAGTGATTGCTCTCTGACCTCTGGGTGTCAGGTGGGGTGAACTCTACTTCACACACAGACTGACAGCCCTGGACTCTGCCTCAATCCTCCTCTGAATCATCTCCCAGGGTTTGGGCATGTAGTGCAGGACACACAGAGTGGAAACAAACTTCCTAAGATCAGAGTTCCCTTCACAGATTACAGCCCTGCAGACATTCCCCACAGAGAGAAGTCTGATGGGAGTGACTCAGCAGAAGGAGACTCAGCAGAGTCTCAGTCCAGTCCCTAGCCCCCTCCCCATGACCATGACACTGAGAAAACCATGCAGAGCTTGGTCACACCCTGGACTGAGGGGACTCTGGAATCTAACAGAGAAGCTCAGCCTGGGAACCCCTCCCAGACCCCTATCCCAGGGCTCCTGACTCCAGGGAACTTGGGGAGCCTGTGTCAGGTTGGGTTTGACCTCCTGGAAGGGCTGGGTGGGAGCAGTGGCTCTCCTTCTGCTCATCAGCCAGGGCTCAGCCCCAAGAGCCACATCAGGACTGGGACAGAGCCTAGTCCTTCACCTAAGGCTGTGTCAGGAGAGCACAGATAGACAAAATACCCCATATCATTAGCTGACACCTCTGAGGGTTTAGGAGACTCCGGAGGGAGGTCAGGTCTCCAGGAAGGAACAGAGGAGAGAAGATGCTCCTGACAGCTCCTTGTCCACCAGGGGTCAGCCCAGGAATTCTCCCTCATGGAGGCAAATAATGGTAGTGGCCATTTAAGTCAGTGTCTGCTCTATACTGGGCTTGAGGTCAAGTATTCAGGGATGTTTTAAGGTCAATTCACAGACAACATGGTAATCCAGAGTCCACTTACCATTTGTTCTGTTTTTATTCAGGGGAAACAGAGGCACAGTGTGATACAGTCACTGAATCAGGCTCACACAGACACAGCAAGGTCCTCTGTTTTGAATACTGTTAGCCACAGCCCCATCCTCTCCTCCACCACGAGGGTCTTAGGTGTCTGTGGACCGTGAGACCAGCCATTGGTTCAGTGCTTGTGCTTAGCAGTCCCCAGCTCAAGGTAGATTTTCTGGTCTGATGATTAAGCAAATGGAGAATTAATTTTACTCTAGAATCAAGTTACCTACAATAACATTCAGAGTCACTGCTGGGAATGCCCAGGCCTTCCCCTCAGGTTACTGATCCATACCTCCCTGCACTAGACTTGAAACCACATATTTGTTTCCTGATGTGTTGGTGCCACTCCCACTAGATATGAAGGAAAGGACTTTGCCTTCTCACTCTCCACCCTACACCTGCTACCAGTTCAGGGACCAGCACTCACTTGCTCTCGCATAAAGGAGGGAAGGAATGATGGTGAATGATGAAGGAATGAATGAATGAATGAATGATGCATAATCGCTAGAGAGACTGGAACCTGGATGCAGAGTCCTAAAAGGTTTTTAGCCACACCTGTTCCCTGTCCCTACAGGTGCTGAGAACTATGTCCATGCCTCTGACCACCTGTCCTTTGGTGACTGTGGGGCTGTTCCACTGTGGAAAGGTTTTCCAGGCTGCACTGCTCCTGCCCTGGGGCAGCTGTGGGCTCTTGGTCCCTGGGGTCTTTGAAGTCACGCATAACCCCCACTGCCTCTATCTGCTCCTTCCATGTCCTTTATCTGCCTCCTCCTTCACTCCAGACACACTGCCCTGCTCTGCTCTGCTTCCCCCACTGTGCAGATTGTCTTGCTAAAACCTGTGTCCAGGCCCATCCTCCTGGGCAATAGGAGAGGACACAGATATCAGTAGGAGCAGCAGCCTTGGCTCCATCCTGAGCTAGTTTCCCACGTCACCAGGAGGAAGAGATTCTGTAGCAATTACAGAGAGATCTAGTTCACAGGTAGCATAGAGCTGAGTGCCATTTCTGACTCATAACAGCTTACAGGTATGGAAAAGACACATTGATCTAAGTAGGCCTCATTCTCCATTCACATCCCTGGGAATGTGGTGAAAACAGGTCTAGCTGCAGGCAAGGTAGCATTAAACTTAATGGTGCCATTAACTGGCCAAACCTCTTCATTGTCCACTTTATAGCGGGACCAGGCTATGTTGCAAAAGAAGATTAGCCTTTTTTTCCCTTGGGGATCCAGAGTTAAATTTCTCCCAGTTGAACCCTTTGTACCCCAATAGAAAAGGGGACTCTCAAGGCACTGTGGCCTGGTTCCCCATCTACAGAGGCATGTGTAGCAAGCCGAGGTTAGGCATTTCTGCAAGTCTCTGGGCTGTTTGGGCCGTTCTGAGTAGGGCAGGTCTCCTGTTAAGCATTCTCTGATTTTCATGGAAGTTAATAATGAAAAGATGGTGAGCAAACATTCAGTCAGCCTCAAGATTAGTTTCCTCTTGGGGGTTCCCTTAAAATCATCATTTTCCCTTTTTGGTTTTGTACATGTGGGCATCACTGATTTTTAAATCTCTATCGGGTGAATTGGGACCGAATTGACCAGTAAAATATGTTGCCCCTTAACATGCCCTAATTGAAAGGGGACAGATTCTGATTTTAAAACAGCCATTGGTTGCTTAGACCCCCCTACCATTTGTACAGAAGCTTTACTCCGAGGGAGAGGGAAACTTAGATGGTAGGGTAAAGAACAGATAAAGAAGCCCCAGTATCTCCAAGGGCCTAGTAATGTTCCGTTTTATGATAATTTCAATTTTTTAGTAAGGAGAAGGGGAAAATACCCTCTCATAGTCCTGGAGCAGCCTTATGTTTGCTTCTGTTTCCACTTTGTAAATCACACTTCAGGTTTTCTTTTTAAACAGAAAATCTCGCTTTTTATTGCAAAAGACTCCTCTCCGGTTGCACAGCAGACCTTATTTAGTAATCCTGTTGCCTTGCTCTCAGAAACAGTGAGTGTATTAGTTGGAATAGGTCAGAATAGACAGGATTACATGTTCTAACAGTTAAATTTTTGTGAATCCATCAGGGTCCCAGATAAAGTCGGGAACAATTGCTGGTTCCTCTCTAGCTGAGACCAGCTTTTTCCAAAAGGGAGCTGTTAGAATTCCTATTCTCATTTTCCTTCAAGTCAGTGGTAATAGAGGAGACGGAAGGGGAAGGAAGAAGGGAGAGGAAAGGGCAAGTCCAGACAAGGAAGGTCAGAAAGGAAGAGGGGGAGATGGGGTGTAGGCATTTATTAACTTCAGAATCATTCTGAGACAGTCTCTAAAATTTCTTAATAATTTCCATTCTTTATTGGAAGAAGTATTTTTTCTTTTCTTCTCATAAGAAGCTTCCATTTTTCCAAGTAAAGATATGCTTCCCATATAGTCATTCCGTTTCACTTCAGAACCAACATTTTTCTAATTTCTGCATGCAAAATATTAATGTATATACCAAAAACAACTGCATTTTGGCCATTTCTAAGTTGAAATTTTCTAGTTAAATCTTCCCATTTCTGTAAAGCACTTGCAAGTAAAGGCTTCCTAACAGGAATATTAAATGAGGGTTGGGGTCTGGGAGCTTCTGCCCTGGAGGCACAATTTCCCATGTTAAATTTTTTTATTTTTGGATATCTGTAGTCTGAGCAAATCTCCAGGATATGTTATGTAGTGGATCAAGTGTGGGCTCAGTTTCTCTCCTGGCTGTGTAATACAACAGGAAGGATTCAGGCCCGGGAAGACCAAGCCTTAGGGTCGCCCCCTAGATGAGCCAGTTAGTTAATTACAGTTGTGTTGGGCCTTCCCTGTGGGGCTCCTGCACTTCTGACACCTCCACAAAGATTCTTAGTCACCTGCGAATAACCAAGAATTGGACTGCAGGGAGGATGTGCCCCTATATCTTATGAGCTGATGAGTTCAGCTCATTTATACAGCCAAGGTTTTTTGCTCAGACTCTCAAAAAGCAATTCCAATTAAAAAGCCAAAATCAAAACGAGCCACCCATTTTTTTCCTCCAGTCCCGCCTTCGACTGAGTTCTGTCAACCCTTTAATTCCACCTCAAGGATTTTAAGACACAGCTCAAATAAAGTCAAACCCTCTACCAAAAGAAAAGGAATGTCCTGGATCCAAGAGACAACTCACCCACATTCACCCAATGGGCGGGGAACCAGTGGGCTCAATGGGCCCTTTGCTGGATCTTACAACCAAGTCCAGGTCTGCTGGAAGGTTCTGGGTGAGCTTGTTTAGAATCCTACCATGAATATGGCAAGTAATGTTAACGTAAAAACATTCAACCCTGTAAAGAATTTGTGTGAGTTTATTTAAGCCAAAATGTCCACAATTGCTGGGAAGCATTACTAGTATCTCAACCAATTGGATAGTGTCTAGAGAATAGCATGGGGTTTTTTCATTTATTTTTATACATTGCAATCACAGGAGGGGACCTAGGTGGGTTACATGAAATCCAATGATGAAAGATGAGAGAAGGGGGAGAAAGCAAAGTGGGGAAACCTCTGGGATTGGATAAAAAGTAAAATGATACTTAGATGGGTGCAGGATAGTTAATAGTCAACAATTACCACGGTAACAATAACAATGAAGGAATTTTTGGTATCTGTCTGGCACCCACACACATTAGGTTGTGCCCCAGGGGGTCCAGAAGAAAAGAAGTTACCCTGAAATTTCAAGGATATGTCATCATAGATGCAAAAAGACAGATATGATCAGTTAAGGTAACGGTTGACCTTGTCGGTGAAGATACCAACCTAGGATGTAACTACCCACCATTACGGCTTTTAGTTAAAGTTTAATTTCAGACCATCTTTTGTGATTACTTTAGGTCTCTGAGTTTGCAAGACCACCATACAGGCCTTCCCTGAGTTTGTCAGTTTAACATGTGGCCCATTTCATCCATATGAGTCAGAATCTGCATATTTAGCAGGACCTGCAGACCCTTCCTATGCACAGGAGATGGGGAGGGGAGTCCCCATCTCCAAATCATCCACATCATGGGGTCTCATTCTGGCTGGGCATCCACTACAGCTAGGCAGCTGCTGAAGCAGTATATCTTTTCTTTTAATAAATCAGATT